GAAGGAACAGAAGGAAATACTGAGCCACTCACTCCAGGCAATAAAAAAATGCAAGCATCCAGAATACTCGAAGTATACCCTTCCTGGATGCTCTTTTTCCTGCCCCCAGCAGTCTAAATTGAACTTTTTTTAGGGTCCTTTCTTCTGCTAAAGCAAGTCCCTATGTTCTACTCTGATCGGGCAGAAGGTTTACTCAGCAGATGTAATTATTTTTGCCTTTAAGCAATATTTTCTCTCTAGTCTTCAGCATGTACCAAGGTGCCTGACTATCTTTTTACTCCTACAACTTTTGTTCTTTTAAAGCAAAAACCTTCAACCATGACACATATCACATTTTCCTCATTTCTCTGTTAAAATTCTTTTTACTCTATGCAATTAAAAATTATCTTTGTTGTTCTTTATTTATCTTAACACAATTTAATCACAGTGTTGTTTAAGGAGAAATAGTAGGAAAATATTACACTATGTTAAAACTTCTAAGGACAGAGAATTTTTTTAATGTCGCACTCTTACGTCTTTCAAGAAATTAAAGAAGAACCAATCAGGATGACATAATTCATGCATATCTTCTGCAGCACCTTGGATGCAGTCTTTAAAGCTCTTCCACTAACACATATTTATTAATACTGTTATAAAAAGATTAGAGCATGAAATTGTAAAGTTTCATAAATTTCAAAATTGTCACACAAGATGACACCCAATTCCCCTCTGTATAAATTATACATGATCTTAGCAATGATTTTTCACGCTTTGTATATGCTTATATAGACTATCCAGAAAGCTAACCACTACTTGATTTGTCATTAGAAATTTAACTCTTACCTGAAATTTGTACATAAGATGATTCCTCCAAAATGAATGCTTAATTAATCATGCAACCATCTATCTGCTGTTTCACTTTGCCTTAAAAGCCCCTAACACTTCCTATGGCTTCCTTTCTTCTTACTTGGTGTTGTTCCCATCTTCTGTCCCTTAGGGCAATTTCCTTCTAGTTTGGCTTTCTCTAAATTGTTGCACTTTTAGTTTACAATTCTTTCCACTTATTTATTTTTCCAGTCAATCTGACTAAATCTTATTAGGAGCTCCCTCTCCCTCTATTCTATTCAGATTTCTGATCTTCTCTTCTCTTTTTTTCTCCCACTATTTCCTGTCTCTTCTTTTTGTGTTTGTGTGCTTTCCTGCCTTTGGCTTCTCCTTCCACTAAGAAGTGCTCACTTCTGAATGATGTCAGAACTATACTGAATACACTTACTGTGGGTTTGATTCTTCATAGACTCAGGTTTGATTCCTTAAGACACGGAATGCTTTCAACATCTCTATTAATACTTCTGTTTTCTCCTGGGGCAGAGTTACGAAAGGGTGTCAGGATCAGCTGGATCTCTAGAGATAAAGTGAAAGTAAATGGCCCTCACCAGAGATGTGAGAAATGCATAAGATCACAATCCTGAAAATTGTATAAATGCATCCTACTTTTATCTTTCTGGCCCAGTTATTTCTTTAAAATGTTATGATTCTAATTTATCAAATAATCATAAGGTAGTAGACTCATCATAACTACTCTACCGGAAATAATAAAATTTTAGTTTTTGCTAGTGGTGCGCCTATAGAATACGAGTATAGTGATGAAGTAAAGTGAAGTGTCTGTCTCTGGCATGAACCACTTTCCAGAAAACATGGTTACTCAGTATTCAGGTGTTTATTTTCCATTTACTAATTAAAAAATGTACTCATGGCTCTATATTAAGCACTGTAAAGACAGAAAATATTTTCTAGTTCATTATTACTTCCATTGTGCTTAGCATGTGAGATATATGTGCATATGCATATATGTGCATAACTCACATCTTTGCGGTTATGAATTTTATACATAGAATATCAGTTTCTGCTAAGAAACATTCTAGGACTTTTGTTAAGACTATATTGACTCTACTGAACACTTTGCACCACTCCTCTGTCAGTTTGTTGTATTAAATGGGCGTCTTAATTGTGATGCTAGAAACCATGCCACCAGTATTTCAAATATCAGTAGAGCCAATAATGGTGGTCATATTTCAAGAGAACTTCCAAACTAAGACTAACCTAGGAAGAGGGAATAAGTAGGCCACTTCTGATAGATTAGCAGCTAAAAAAAGGTCTTAATTGCAGTGCAGTCTGATCTTATATAATGCTGAAAGAGGAGTCCTACTGGGCCTTCAAAGTTACTAGGGAAGATGTGTCTTCTCAAAGTCAGCCTTATTGATATGGATGCAGTAAAGTTTAGAGGACTTTCATTTGCTGACAGAGCATGATGCAAAATGAGAATAGATGTCTGTAATAATCCATTAGTAAATTAAATAGGGAATGTACAGTGTATGAATCTTGGAAAATTGAAAGGCAGTAAAAATGAACAGGCCCACATAAATATCAATATTGTAGGCTTCAGTGAGATGGAATGACTGATAATAGCCTTTTGATTCAGACACTGATATGGCTTACTGTGCCAGGAAT